GAGAGAGAGAGAGAGAGAGAGAGAGAGAGAGAGAGAGAGAGAGAGAGAGAGAGAGAGAGAGAGAGAGAGAGAGATCTTTCTGTTCCACATGCACACTAACGATCCAAGTAGCGCATGACGTGAGCTGTCGAGAGCCTGCACACAGTGACGAACGGGCACATTGACGCGCCCTTCGACTTCGTGCGGCTACTGCAGGAACATGGAGGCGGTAGGGTGTGAACGCACCCGGACGTGTGTCTGTGTGTGTGTGCGCGGGCGTGGTGAGCGTGTTTGTGCGTGAACGAGAGGGGGAGTGGGGGAGGGAGAACTCTTCTCACCCACGGGCCACTCTCTCGGAGGGAGCACTCTTCTCACCCACGGGCCTCTCTCTCTCTCTCTCTCTCTCTCTCTCTCTCTCATTTCTGTCCACTGTCCTTCGTCTTTCTCTTTCTCGCGACGACCTTCAAGTTGTGGGAATGATTCATCTAGCCGTATTTTATTTTATTTTTATTTTTCGATGGACCACGGATCAGAACAGATGCTAGACTTGATCTTAGCCAAAAGGCCGAGAAAGGTATTCGGTAGCCGTAATTGAACACAGGTGTGTTCGCAGCCGGGAACGAGGGTAAGAGGGCGTCGCAGGGACCTGGGGAAGGGTGACAGACGGATCTAGCTCATCACCGACGTGAGGTAATGGCTGATTGGACAGTAGAMCCCCACTGATGACTGAGGCTAATATCCCAACGGACTGGCGTCCAATAAAATATTGTTCAGAATAAGAGTACTCACACTAGGTCCTCAAAGTCGCAAAATCATCCAGCCGCCTAGCTCAGTTGGTTAGGCACGCAAGTGGCAGTCAGGAGGTGGTGGGTTCTAGCCCCACAATAGCCTGCGGCGCACTTAGTGCCAACCAGCGGTGATAGTCCATTTCTGATCGGTATTAGCAGGGTCCTTGGCCAACAGCGTTAGCCGGACCCCCACTAGCCGGACCCCCACTGGCTGCCCCACCCCACCCTTGGTTGGAGGGGGGGGCAACATGCATCTCCTCTGATGGCTGTAGGGAGACAACAAAGCTATCCTCTGATGGCTGTAGGGAGACAACAAAGCTATGTTCGCAGGGGTCGCCTGTATAAGCCTTAGGAGTAGTGGTAGGTTCTTAGTGGTAGGTAGGTAGTGAAGGTGAATTGAATTGAAAGAATTTGAAAGATGATGAAAGATTTGAGAGAAGAATGTACAAAAAAAAAAAAAAAAAAAAAAAAAAGAAAGGATGTAGGGCAGTTTTGAGGGCCTAATGGGATCCTTTTACAAGAATTCAATCTGGCTGCTGATTTTGCGATTTCACGGTTTTGAGGGCCTAATGTGAGTATGCCCTAACTACATTAAACCGCCAGTACCTTTCCCTGCTAGAAAAATAAATCGAGAGCTGTGGCCGGAAATGGCTGGCGGCCATATCCCCGAAGGGCAGGGCCTGCGGCCTATGTATGAGAAAGGTGCTGGCCATTTAACAGCATTACTAGCCAGGTAACCTGGGCTTCTGGAGGGGATGTCATGAGGTTAGACCTTGGCTAGGGAGGGGCCATTAGACACTGCCCATGATATCTAGGCTATAGTTCGACTCGTATCCTGGTGGCCCAGTTCATAACAACAATGCCGATTGGGGGGCACAGACGGGAGTCTGAACGCCCTCAGGAAAGGCACCTATAATCGAACGTTCACACCTAGCTCCCGAAGTACCTGTGCAACTGGGTTTGCACGTCGTCCTCTTCGACCAGTGCTGAGTGGGGAAGTAGGGGTCCCCCCTCTCAGCCCAGGTGCCTGCAACCCCTGTCCGGTCAGATCACCTAGCCGAGTTGGTGATGAGTGATGGTCCTGGGTGGTCCACATTAAGGTAGGGCAGAGGTGGTACGGGTGCGCAGGGGTAATTGAGCAGAGGAAGGGTGGAGAGGGGGTCTTCTGAGGGGGGTTACAAAAACACTAAAAAATAATTAATGAAATTCCAAATTGAAATAATAATGAAAAAGGGTGAGGCCGCAGGCGCGCATGAGACGGGTAGGCCAAAAACCGGTAGGCTGAAGGGTCGTGGCAGAGGTAAAAGGTTGGGCATCCGACAGTAGGGCGTAGAGGTCGTTTGGCATCGATTCTGGAAAGTGCCCAGCGCTTTCCGTTTCGGGAATGGGGGGTTTGTGGCAGCCTACGGAGGGAAGGAACGTTTTTTTTTCTTGAAAGGGGGACGGTGTTGAGTTATCATCTTCGTTGAACTGTGTGGCCCCATCACTGGAATAGAACTTGGGTCTGCATTTCAGGCGTGCTCACACTAGCTTGCTAACTTCAGCACTTTCCACTTAGAGTTGGAACCCATAGGAAAAAGGATGGAAAAACCATCCAGCCAAAAAAAAGGGGCAAAGAATTTCAAGTTTGGAAAGCTGGAAAGCAGTTTTGTGGGGACCCCACCACGGAGAACCAAATGCGCCATGGAAACCCTTTGGAAATCAGTTGAGCCAATCGTTGCCTTTCTCAGTCCGCACTCATTTGTTTTGTTTTCGTTTTCTTTGTTTTTCCTTTTTTTGTGGTGGCACTCTTGGTCGCTATTGGCTGCTGCCTCTCGTGAGACTTTTCCGTGACTTTTCCAGGAATGACACGCCCTCCCCCCTAGAGTTGGCACAAAATTGCGGCGAGGAATCCTCCCGTGAGACCTTTCCAGGCTGTGGACTATGTGAAAACAGAAAACTCTGTTTTTCCAAGCTGCAATCTTCGGTCTGTGGGGTCCCGGGAAACGGGTTGCAGGAGAAATTTCACCTTTCCGTGGACATCTGCTGCAGTCCGTGGGGTCCTGGAAACAGTTTTGCGGCAAAGTTTTTCTTTTCCGCGGTCCTGTGGGGTCCAACTCTTACCTCAGTTCTTTATGGAATTATCGACGGATGCATATCACGCATGCATCTGGCATCCAAAGTTCCCGTGCGACGAGGCTCGTTCTACTCCGCTTCCACCGGGGTTGGGTCATGGCTACCGTCTTCACCCGAAAATAACGCCCCGAGCGTTATATTCAACTTACACTAAAAAGATGAGAT